CCTGAAGACCGTCTACCAAGAGTGAGGATCAGAGATTATAGTGAACGGGATCTCAAAAGAGGACTTTGTTCAGGCGTGGTTGTATATAGGCTGATGATAAAAACGACATGCCGCTATCTTTTCGAAGCAATACACATTACGTTTTTACTTTACATTCGACCCCATTTTGTTTTCTTGTACTTCTATTTCTAGTTCACAACAGAAGTGGTGTAGTTGTCAAATAAATTTCTATTATAATACTTAGATTGTATGAATATTATTATTCTCTTCTTTATTGAAAGCGTTTTGAGGTCACAGCGACTCAGTATTTTCTATTTCCAGCGCAACGCTACAAAATAATAACATAACATGACATCACGCCTTTTATCACCGAAGGGGTAGGTAGAGTGCACAATGTAAGACCCACTTTTCACTATTTATGTTATGAGTCCCATGTAATAGGGGGTGAGCCTATTGACATATACCGAGCACAATTCCAGAGTCCGTGCTACTACTGAGATTTATTTAAAAACCCAGTAATACTTTGCCCGACCCGGTAATCGAAGCCGAGACCCCATGCCCCGCAATCGCACTTGCGACCACTCGGCGAACGAGGCAAAACTACAAAACCATCTCAGTTTAAAAAATAATGTATTATTTGCAACTTGCATTATCATTGAAAACTATTTACCATTCTAATTAACTTATTATGAATAACACACATAACATAACATCACGCCTTTTATCCTCGAAAGGGTAGGCAGAGGTGCACATTATACCACTGTACAATGTAACACCCACTTTTCACTATTTATGTTATGCGTCCCATGTAATAGGGGGTGAGCCTATTGCCATATACCGAACACAATTCCAGAGTCCGTGCTACTACTGAGATTTATTTAAAAACCCAGTAATACTTTGCCCGACCTGGTAATCGAGCAGTCACACTTAATTTGATTGAACTGGCGGCTTCATCTACGTCCAAATTCTAGCCCAAATAAAAGTAGTTCAAGTGAAGCTTATACGAACATAATTTTATATTTATTTTTATACTTCGATATAACACAGTATGAACACCGAAATCTAAATATAACATTTCTAAGAATCATGAGAGTATTTCTGTCAGTTGAAAAGACATTTATTCGTGCTATGATGCCAATAAAAAAACATTTCGTAGTATTCGTCTATTGACATGAAATATACTAATATACATTACGGATTTACTTTTCAGAAAATGTGGGCAAAAGTGCAAATAATGTAAGTTGTCATTAAATAAGGGACGGGCCTATAGCCATACTCCATACACCATTTAAGACTCCGAGTATCTGACCACATACAACTGAAAATTTTAGAAAATCAAAAATTCATATTTATTCGATACCCCTTCCTCGGCAAATCTTATACAAAACATCTGTATATATATCTGTTTTTGACAGAAACCGTATACTAGTAATGTAAATAATCGGTCTTAATCGATAGACTTTGAATTAACATAGATTATCAACCTTTAAACAAGACCTCCCGCTTCCAACCGGCCTATCTGGAATCATTGAGGAGGCCAATTCAGCTGTAGACGTCCTGTGGCTGATATGATGATGACGACGATGGTCGACCTTCAATCAGTCAGGATAGGGCTACTTATAATGGCTTGTAATAAATGGACTTCTTGCATCGACTATTCTCATCAAAACCAAACCCAAAGGTGTCCAAGGCGCCAATAACACCAATATGGGTAAATTATACACGGAATGCCGTCTGCCTCATACCTTCGACCTTCCGCGCCAGATGTGAACGGCATACTGATCATGTAATCTAGGACGCACCTAGGATTTATTGTAAATAAACTAGGTCACGATTTATGTAAGCGATTATGTGTTATTGACTTTGCTATTGTGATGTGTATGGAGAATTTGGGACATGCCCATTATTTGCGCAAGGATTGGGAGCTCCGCGGCCCCGTGATCATGCGCGAAACGGGACGTATAGGTTAACATACAGGTCGTACGGTAACAAATACAGAGTGCCTAATTTATGATCGGGATGTCTTATTACCTACTTTTAAGTAAAACTCAATACTTCAATACAGCAAAAAGTTTATGATAAAACCAACTTCTCAAGAAACAGCATTTTTTTTTAAGGGGTGAAAATCATCGTGTGTCCTTCGCAATGGCTGGGTTGCGAGGAGGCAGCGCTTTGCTGCCTCACGCGGCCCGCCTCCTCCTTAGCTAGCATAACTGCTTCGCAAAAGGAGGAGACGGTATCCCAGTCCCCCTCGCTCCGCATCATGGCCTGCACCAGGCCCGGACGCGAGAGGTCGCCATCGCCGGTCACTTCCCTGAGGGCACGGCGGTGCTCAGCTCACGCAGGGCATTCCCCCACTGTGTGTTCCACAGTGTCCTCAGGGCGATCCTCGCAGTGATGACACCTGGGCGTTTCCTCCCGCCCCATCAGACACTGGTACCTCCCGAAACTTCCATGTCCGGTGAGGACCTGCGTCAGGCGGTAGGTGAGGACGCCGTAGCGTCTCTCAAGCCACTCCTCAAAGAGGGGACTTACCGCTGCAATGGCAGCGAGCCCAAAGGAACAGCATATTGCTTGTTCAAAACTTCCAAACCGAATGCCCGTTACAACTCTTTGCGCGGGAAACTTACTAATCTGTCACATTTGACAGATGACATTCTTTTTTTTAATTTGTTTATTTGGAAACTCGACAGCTTATTAATATAGTTACATGAGTTGGGAATACACATCACACTATCAATGCACAGCCTTATGCAGTTTCATGAAAGAATATATACATAAAGCTTGGAAAAGTGACGTCGACACACCCTGCACAGTGATAACGACATCGTCAATATGCTAGTTCTGTCGATAACATAGATTCAACTGGTGACGTTCATTTAGTTGATTTTCGTGTAACATTACTGAGGCAAAAAACCCTTTATAAGTTATCAGTGCCACCCATAATCACCATTAGAGAAGAAGTCAGAAGTCGGTTGCAGTTAAAAAGCAGTATGTTCTTTTCTCAACTGATTAAAGGTCGGTTCAGACTGTCTGTTGTTTAGAGAGAAAATCATCTAATTACATCTCCCGCATTGGGTGAGGCGTGAGGGAGTGTCACACTCTTACTGACTAAAAACCAGGCGAGAGATCACCGCCACCGATCACTTCTGTAAGGTAGTCCTGAGTGTCCAAATGTCTATACCAGTTTTAAAGAAAATTATTTTTCTCATACATACATTCTGTTAAATTAGTTAATAGATACTCACCGGTACAGGTCTAATCTACACTAATAGTATAAAGAGGAAAGATTAGATTTTTTGTTTGTTTAAATTGAATCTCCTCCGAAACTAGCAGACTGATTAGAAAAAATATTTTACCTTTAGAATCCTACATTATTGATGATGAACATAGGATATATTTAATAAGAGAGAAAAAAGGGAACCGTGTGAAAATTAATAAAAACTAAATTGATTCTGGTGAAATTTGTTACACAGCATTGCAATTAACTTTGGAGAAGACTAATTAAAAAATCCATAATTTGCTAAAAGTCATTATTATACGGGGACGAAGTTGCGGGAAACAGCTAGTCAATATTAAAGTAATCTGTATATATAAAAGAAAGTAGCTTAGAGCCAGGAGACCGACATAGGACTTTTTAACCAATACTTTTTTGACTTTTTACCGAAAATCACGAACGGGGACGGGAAATAATGGAATTACGCGTACGAAGTCGCGGGCAGAAACTAGTTAGTTAATAGATACTAGTTCACCAGTACCGGTAGTCAATATTAAAGTAATATTGTACTAAACAGATACTCCTACGCAAACCGGTTGACACTGACCTAGAGTGATTTCATAACGTGATCTCATCGATACAAGTTCATACATAATCTTAGAAAAATCACTTTAAATCACAAATATATTGATATTACATCAATGATATTTCTTCAGCATTAAAACATCTCTATTTTCTTTTCTTTCGCCGCTGCAAAGGCCTCTCTACTCCCCTTACACTCCTCCTTTCCTTCACTGTACCTAGCTTCACTGACAGACAAACTGACGGACAATTCAATTTGATGTTTCGAAAGTGCCTAATTAAGTAAAGATTAATTGAAATAAATGCTTTTTATGACTATTGCCTTTTTTTACTTTTGGTAAACATAACATCACGCCTTTTTATCCCCCAAAGGGGTAGGCAGAGGTGCATATTATGCCACTGTACAATGTAACACCCACTTTTCACTATTATGTTATGAATCCCATGTAATAGGGGGTGAGCCTATTGCCATATCCAGACTTCATGCTACTACTGAGATTTTTTAAAAAATCCCAGTAATACTTTGCTCGACCCGGGAACCCGAGACCCCTTTCCCGGCAGTCGCACTTGCGACCACTCGGCCAACGAGGCAGTCACTTTTGGTCTTCTATCCCCATAAATGCATAAACGGTTACCGCCGGTTTAGTAAACGACCCATGATGCAGGAAAATTTTAAAATACCATAGACTTCAGTTTAGACCATCGCCATAAAAATTCTTCGGGCCGACTGCAGCTCATAAATAAACAGTCACCAACTTAGCCTTTGAGGTTATCCACGCAGAATACACACACATTGACACGAAGGACATCAGTCGCGTGACATGGCTCGTCGTTACACTTCATGCATTTCGGTGTTGCAAGTACACGCACACATAAATACACCACTGACATTTTGGTGCTTCAATCATTTCTAAGTGATATTACGTCCGCCTTTTTTTCTACGACCTTTTTTTTTTTTAAGGGGGGAATATCATCGAATCACTGCTCCCGCCTGGGTGAGGCGGGAGGGAGTGTCAGACTCGTACTGACTAAAAACCACCCCGTTCCTTCTCCTGCACGTCGAGCCGGAGCCCCGGTTACCCGTTAGGTTCTCCGCGACATCTAATCAACTGGTTAGTTAGTTAAAAATACCTTAAAATTCTAAGCAAAAAACGATAACAACATCAAAAGCGTGACGTCACAACATCAAAACAGTTCTTACCCCCCTTTTCCGCCATGTCTCCCTTCTTTTGACACGTGGCAAGCTATTATAATTCCTCTCACTCATTTTTCTTCCACTGTCTTTTACATTTCACTAATTTTCTTTCACTGTTTCTGTCACTTTTTTACACTTTTATCAACACTTTTTGGTACACTTTTTCACACTTCATCGTTATTAGTTTTCAGTGGTACCTATCTAAATACCTGAGATAAGGGGGAGCCTAATTAGTGAACGACCGCATCGAAACTGATTAAGCAATTTCTGAGAAAGTATCTGCTTCGACGTTTGACCTTGAGTTCAAACTGTTAGAAATGGATACTCTGGATTATAACAAATGGATTAGTGGACTTAAGAATTTAACTAATGCACTGATTATCCAAAAGTTTATCATCTATGATTAAGTTCATTGGTAGATTATCAACACGTAATTGCGTTTACAGTTAAAAGTGTCATTGCTGTTAAGGAAATATGTCTTTTTTTCTAAGGGCGGAAAATCATCGAATGACTTCTCCCGCCTGGATGAGGCGGGAGGGAGTTTCAGACTCTTACTGACTAAAAACCACCCCGTTCCTTCTCTTGCGCTTCGAGCCGGAGCCACGGTAACCCGTTAGGTTCTCTGCGACAAGGAAATATGTCTGGGTGTGTCAGATGTGTGTACGCGTTTTCCAATTGCGATATCAAAGATCCCCGATGGGTATATCTCAAACTGGAAAACAGAAGAAATCTTTAAGAAAATAATTTGCACCTTCCAATTGCCATTTTTATCAAACGAATCACCGAAGTTGTCTGTGCCGCCTGTAGACCCCACAACGCGAGAGGAGTTACAAGTGCGTTGTCGACCTTTCAAGGAGAGTGAAAGAAACACAACGCAGAAATATAAAAAGAATTGTTGAGGGTAAATTCCCAGTTGTCAAGAGGTAAAATGTGAGTTGGAGTTAGAAAAAAAATAAAGGTTTAGACTATCAGGAAGAAGGTCAGGATCACATACCAGAAAAGTTGATATATTTGGGACGACGATCAATAAAGTACGAAAGAAAAAGAATTCTTTAATGAAAGGGTATTTAAGTGTAGGAGAGCCATGCTTCGGCACGAATGGACTGGCTCAACCACGGACCGGTGACACCACGGTGTGGTTACCGGGCGCCCAATTACCCCCCCCCCCCCTAATTCCCCAACAATCTTCAAATTCGTAATCCCAAAAGGCCGGTAACGCACTTGTAACGCTTCTGGTGTTCAAGGTGTCCATGGGCGACGCCTATTGCATACCATCAGGTGATCCGTCTGCTCGTTTACCGGCTTATGCCATAAAAAATAGGGTTAAAATTTTCCAACGTAACTAGCTTAACATTTGAAGTGATAGTCCAATATCTCATTAGTCAATAAACGTGACATTGAAACGCTAAAACACTTCATGTTAATTAAAAACCATGTTACTGAGATAACACGATTGTAAACCTATGACTCATTTTTCCACATAATAAAACTACGTCCTTTAAGTTATCTAGACTGAGAGTGTTCCTAACACAGGACCTAAGTAATTAACTAACAGCAAGATCATTGAAAAGTCGCGGAGAACCTAACGGGTTACCGGCGCTGCGGCTCGACGTGCAGGAGAAGGAACGGGGTGGTTTTTAGTCAGTAAGAGTCTGACACTCCCTCCCGCCTCACCCAGGCAGGAGCAGTCATTCGATGATATTCCCCCCTTAAAAAAAAAGGTCGTAGAAAAAAAGGCGGACGTAATGTCACATAGAAAGGATTGAAGCACCAAATTGTCAGTGGTGTATTTATGTGTGCGTGTACTTGCAACACCATAATGAATGAAGTGTAACGACGGGTCACGTCACGCGACTGATGTCCTTCGTGTCAATGTGTGTGTATTCTGCGTGTAAGTCTATAGTAGCCAGGTGCCACAGTCGTTGTTTCAAGAGACTATGTCCCTTTTTTTTTTTAATCGTCCTTGCCTGGGCGTTGAGCTGTGTGGTGATGATGGCACAATGGAATACAATGTCACCACCGCGATTATTCCCGCGGGTGTCTTAAGAGCTGACTAAGGAGCTACACATTAGACAAAGACCGGGCAGCAGCGCTGTCTGATAAACCTGAACCTTTTACAACTATGATCTGCAACCACACTGCCAAACTTTCTAACGTTTGGCATTCTTCTTACTATATTCTTTTAAGTGTGAAAGAGCCATGCTTCGGCATGAATGGGCTGGCTCGACCGGACTGATACCACGGTCGAGCAGAAATATGGCGTAAAACAACGCTTGCGTTGTGTTTCGGCGTGTGAGTGAGGTTACCGGAGGTCCAATTACACCCGGGGAAAGGGGATTCTTCCACGAGCTCCCTAATCCCCCAAATCCTTGAATCCCAATCATCCTCAAATTCCTAATCCCCAAAAGGCACGCACTTGTAACGTTTCTGGTATTCTAGATGTCCATGGGCGACGCCGATTGCTTACCATCAGGTGAGCTGTCTGTTCGTTTACCGGATTATCCCATATAATATACGTTGATACACGGGTTTGCCATAATCTTTTATGGCAAACGCTTATATTCAGAGGAGGTTCAATATGATATAATGAGAGATAATAAAGCGATGAACTGCCACAGGCTATTATGATGATGGGAATCCGTGGGAATACAGGTTACCTAATAGAACTAAAGTCTGCGTTACTGATTTTGCTCCTCTATTAGAAGTCAACCTTCATGTATCATAAGGACAATGATATTCATTAATAACATTGATACCACACTGATTAAAACCACTCTTTATCACTAACAAATTCACTCCAACTTTCAGCGCTTTAGCACTGATCTCGAAAACCGCTTCACCAATTTTGATGCGACTACCACTAACACTGGAGTTTAAGCGGTTTTTTCTTTATTTACTGATCACTGACACGTCTATTTTAAACATAAATACAAATTGAAATGGTTTCATTGATAGCCTTATCAATGCGATAAAAGATAAAGACATCGGAATGTATATTATTATTTTGAACCTAGATTTCTGAGTATTTTTGTACTAGATTTCGAAATAATCTGTGGTGACGGCTGAGTTGGATACATTTGTCATTCTTCTTGCAAATTTTGTAGGAACCGATTAGGACACTACACATTTGAGAGAGAGAGTGAGAGAGAGAGATAGGGCAGAAGCGCTCTGCTCTTTTTTAATGGTGGAAAATCATCCAATGACTTCTCCCGCCTTGAGGGAAGCAAGAGAAGCTTCCAGACTATTACTCACTAAACACCACCCCATTTCTACTCCTTTTCTTCAAGCCGGAGCCCTGGCAACCCATTATGTCTTCCGCGGCTCCATTAAGTCTTTGAGAATATAGGAGGGGTAGGCAGAGGTGCACATTACGGCACCTATAGCCACTGTACCATGTAACACCTACTTTTCACTACTTTATATTATGAGTCCCAAGTAATAGGGGGTGAGTCTATTGCCATATACCGGGCACAATTCCATCGTTCGACTTCCAACGTATATTAAACTATTTATAATATTTTATCTACTTATACCTATTAAGCTACTAAATAGATTATTCTAGAAACATTGGCAAGGTTAGTGCAGTAAAATACGACTACAATATAATTTAATTAATAAATCAGTCAGTATATTAGAGCACTATATCTTACCAACGTTTTCACACGCATGCTCGGTCCCCAAGTGTGATAGCGTGATGCCATATCTTTAATAACATTACTTAACAAACAAAACTATGAAAAAAAAACTTCAAATCCAAATAGAAAATCACTTTAAAACATAATAAACATATAAACGTCATTTTTCTAACCAATTGCGAAAAAACGGTCATCGCGTCATTCGTTAAAAAAAAGAAAAAAAAGAATCTCAAATCACTTCGCAACATAATTTTAATGTCATTTTTCTATCAAATTGCGAAAAAAAAAACTACAATAACGTCATACGTTCTAAAAAAAAAAAATACGAAAACAAACTTCGAATCACTTTGAAACATACTTTTAATGTCATTTTTCTAACGAAAACTTCAGATCACTGTCGAAAAAACCATACAAAAACAGTCATTTTCCACACTAAAAGTCAAAAACAACACATTTACTAGCGTATACACACATAATTTTCGTTATACATGACTTAAACACTACCGTATGCAACAAGAACTATTTTGATCTAAATTTTTATAACTAACATAGATTATTTACAAACATTATGATCATCGAGATTGGTAATTGCGTAAGATTAGTCTCTGGTATTATTTTGGTTGCTATGTTTTGTAAATATACTGTATCTATAAGGCCTAGGACATATTTGTAGTCTAGATAGACTAGTTCATAGCAGGATAATGTACTTAGTATTGATTTTTTTTTACTATCGAAGGTTTATCACGTTCATCTTAAATGAAACAGTTTTCGCCCAATTTTCGACTGTTCAGTTACGAATATCATTGCAATAATCAGGGTGCTTACTCTTGAAACCAATCTCAATGTCAATGCAATTTCAACCCAAGAAAATCTCAATAATAATTCAATATCAAAACTATACAACCCCTACCGAAGCTGTTTAACTCGTCGAGTACCGTATTTATAGACACAATTAAAGAACAATAGGTCGCGGTCACCGGTGACCGCTTGGTGTTTGACAGTTTAATTAGCATCCAGACTACAGAATATAAAGTCAAACTCGATACCATTTAGTTCATTCAATATCCACGCAATACGGATGCAATGGGCGCTAGTGTTGCAACTCGAGAGTACGAAATTTCACAATACCAATGTCGATCGATCGGAATTGGATTCAAGAGTAAGCCCCCTGGCCTCTATAGAGAATAACACAGTTTTTGTAAAAACTATCGTGAGACATATTGAATTAACTAAAAATGGCGGGTTACTCACGTGAATGTACTAAGAAAAGCTCTACTAGTTTCGCCCGCAAATTTGGCAGTTGATTATCGCAAGAGGAGCAGGCAGTTAAACAATCAGTTGAGTTCCAGACTCCAGACCATCCGTCCCATTGCGATCCACCAACCGATAGTAGAGGGCACGAGTGCAACCCGCCGCGACTGGGGACCGCGGCGGCTG